TTGCAGAAAGATAAATCTAAAGCCTTTTTTTAGTGTGGTGTGGACCACATGTACCTTCCACTCCTCCTCCTCCTCAGATGGCAGACAGGAAACTGAGTAATTTCTTCCAGCCATATTTGTAGCAAACTTTTGAACTCACAACCCATGCAAATAATCCACTCATGAGGATTTTCTGGTCTAGAGCACAAGTCCTTTCTCCCACCCTGTCGTTCTTCGGGACTGACCTATCAAAGATGATTCCCTCAGTCTGTCACCTGAGCTCTGGGATCTCCAATTTCAGTATGTGTTAAAAAAAGTGGCAATCACATTGTCTCAAGAGAGTACTTAACCAGCGTTAGCAATGCTGTGTTCAATAGCTTGCCCTGTTTCCCAGCTATAATAAAAAATATCTCTGCTTTCTACAAACCTCACCTGTCAGGTGGTAGGCTGTCATGGTTGCAACAATGCATTAATCAGGTTCAGCTGTCAATATTAAATGGTTTAGCTGTTAATATCAAATGGTTTAGCTGTTAATATCAAGAGTAAAATAGAGATAAATATTCCATCCTTGATAATCTGTAATGATATTAGAATTATTTCTTTTAGATTATTTTTAATGTCCATTCAAAGTAGTTTTTTCCTCAGCTGGCCCAACGGTATGAGAATGATTCTTGGAGGAAACGATTGAGTTGTGCTGTTGAAAACCTGTGGTGTATCACAGTTGTAAAGCTTTGAAAATAAATGCAGAGACTGGCCACGCAGCTTTGCAGACTTTACACCGGCTGAAGGAACTTGCCCCAAGTATTCAGACAATACGTGTGCTTTGCACGTTAATTGAAGCTGACTGGTATCCAGCCTGTGGTGGTGTTGATCTTCTCTGCAGTGATATGTAATGCTGTTTTTTCAAAAAAAATCGACAACGTAAAAGCAAGCCCTCTAGCTAAGGAGATAAATATTTGTACACAGATACTGTTTTATTTATAACAGAGAGGAGGATGCTCGGAGTGGTTACTCAGAAATTTTACATTTCAAGAACAGTCTGAAAACTTTTTCCTGTTACTCCATTTGGATCCAGAGTGGCTTTGGGTCTTTGAGCTGTGTAACTTTCATGGACTGAGTTCAGTTGCCCAGTTTCTGGTCGTTTGCTTTCTGTCTCCCTGAATGGGGAGCTGGTGCTGCAGGGAAACATCCAAAAGAGCAGGAGCGGGGCTGTGGAACAGTGTGTGCTTTGGATAACCTCTTACCTTCCCTGAGGACCCAGCCTGCCTGCTTTACACAAATGTGTTGCTCTGCTGAATTCAGTGGGATTATTTGCAGATACTCTCAGGGGTTTTTATGGTGGGTGCATACAGATATTTCCCTTGGAAGGGCAGTGCAGGAGACCATATTCTGGAGGTGGTCTAGCCCCTTTTCCCAGATTTTACACCTACTTGAGCTCCCTGTGGGGTCAGGGGAAGTTAATGCATAGCATTGCTCAGGGCTAGGCTTTTCCTTTGGGCAGTTAAGGGATTATTCCAAGGACTAAAATGTGAAATAACTGCGTAGAACAAAGGTTCGCAGATATTTTCCATAATGTTTGGCACACGTTCACAGAGAATATGCAGGCCAGAGGAAGAACTTGCCTTGGAAATCTCATTAAGAAAGACATTAGCTGTGTCTTAATATAATTAAACAACTAGATCTAGAGCTAATATTGTGTGACCACCCAGTTCTTTGTAACTGCTGTGCTGATGACTGTAATCCGAGAAATTTTTGGCTGACCTACAGCTTGGCTCACTTACGGCATGTGCCGTGGTCTTAAGACAGCTTCATATTAGAAATGGTTAAAACCTCCCTTCTGGCCTGGGTTCTCCTTATGCACAAGAACTGGCTGCTTCTCCTACAACTAACTCTGTGGATTTCAGTGGAACTAGGTCTGGTAGATCTGTGCAAATTTTTAGCTATGAACATGAAAGGAAAAGGAGGAAAAAAAAAAGAATGAAAATTTAGTTTTGATCAGTCTATAATGAACTTTTAAAAATGGAACAAAACATGCTTTGGTTGAAAAATGCATTTTGTTCATACAAAACAGACAGTTACAATAAAAGCAAAGTAAATGATGAACTGAGTTCCTTAAATTGATTATGTTTCTTGTAGTCAGTAGCCTGACAGACTCAGCATTTTCCAGTGAAACAGAATGTGTGACTGAACCCTTGCTGCAATGTCTGCTCTATGGGGTAAAGACAGGAACTCAGCATCTTGCCCTCTGCTTCCATTGCTTTAATACAAGCTCCTAAAAATAAAAAATGTTAAGGGTTTGTGGTAATGTTTTTATTTCAGTCAAAATGGTGTGGTGAATTTGATTGAATTCTGGAATTACTTCAGCCACCCTGAAACAGAATTTTTCAGCTGATAAATTTGCCTTGATGCCCTTCAGTGGGACAGCCTGGCCTTAACTTTACGATTTCATTTAGGACTATTTCAAAAAAATAGAGATACATGGAATGCATTAAAGACAAACTCTCACCGGGCTCTTATTTAGTGAAGTTAACTGGCAGCAGCTGCTGTGACTCAATGAATCAGAAATAGTTATAGATAATGGATGGCAAGACAAAGACAATGTAATTTTTTTTCACATGAGAGTGGCTGATCGTGTGACAAGGTTTTATTATAACAACTGTACTTCTGTTTTTCCAAATGATTGATGCACACAGTACTCTGCATAATCTTCTTCAATGATTAATGTTGGTGCCATGAAGCAACTGTTACTCACTGTGCTATTATTGAACATGAATTTTGAATGACTCGTGGCATAGAGCTGCCGAGTACTTAAATCAATTAAATAAAAGTCAGGAAGAGCCAAAGATAATGTTCCTCCTGCAGTATTAACTCCTGTGGCTTGTGTACAAACAAGGTTTCTGTTAACTAGTTAAGGGGTCACATCTCTGGATTCCCCATACATGGGGTGAAGGAAGGAGGAGGCATATGAACCAATGCTTAATGCTTGGATCTGAAAGTTTGTTTTTGTTTTTGTTTTTTCTCTTCCTCCCCTCCTGCATTGGCAAGAAAAGCTGGGAACGGGTAGGAGGGATCAATGGTTTGGCTCCAGGGAGGAGGTGAATTCATCTTCCAAGTGTGCTGCCTGGGGCTGGAATCAACCTGAAAGGTGGGGGAGCATCTTTCCGAGCTTTGCTCATCCAACACAACGGGTTGCTGCTCACACCTATTGATGTGGTTACAAAGAAGAGGGGTGTGGGAGCACTGAGCCACATTTCTTCTTCCACGGGGTGAGGTTGCTCCGTGCATTCCCCAAGCTGGGTTCCAGGATTGGAGAGAAATGTGCTGGCATAATTGTATGCTCTCCACTTGGCTTACAGAGGTGAGAATAGCTGTGTTCAGTGTATTTGTACATCCCTGACCTTCCCATCTCCACTCTCACATCAGGAGTGAAGTATTGAACAATACTCTTGTTTTTTGACCGCCAACAAGTGGATGAGTTAACCCTCCCAGAGATGGAGGGTCGGTCTCTTGCTGAAGATTTTTTGTAAAGCTAAATACGTAGCTGTGTGTCAGCAGTACCGCTGTCAGTAGGAATGGCATTTATGTGACCTAACAATCAGGAACAATCATTTATGTGATTTTTGTTCTCCACAGCCTTAATGTTTATGTGGGGAAACTGGGGGGAGAGGAAACCTGTCTGGAAAGAGCTGTTGGTGCTCCTCAGCTCTGCCTTGAAATGCAGCCCATGGAGACATGATTTCTCCTGAAAGCACTGATGCCATGGGGGCATTGTGATAGTGAGGGAATACAGATACTTCATTTTAAGAACCTCATGCACATGTCTACTGTAGGAGGCTGGGCTTCCACTATGGTTAATAAGGTGAGAGCAGGCACCTATATTGGGCTTTGGCTCTGAATTACCTTGTGGAAAAGGTTATTTTTCTCCATGGACTATCAAAAAAGCTAAGGAAGAATAGTTTTCTAAGTAGAAGACAAATATTAGATTACATGACTACTCCTCTACATTTTTGTATCTTGAACAGGACAAATTAACAATTTGTGATTTCTTATGCACTGTTAAATGTATATGTGAATGTTTATTTCGCTGCTGTTTAACAAGGATGAAGACATTCACAACAATGTTTTAACATGTCAAATCTTTATCCCATTGCCTTTTAAAGGAATGATAATTTTATTCTAATTGTAAACGTGTCTATTCTTGGATTGTTTAAGATATTTAGATTTTCCTCTTTACCTTTGCATTTTTTCTTCTCTTTCTTCCCTTTTTTTTTTTTTGTTTTTCTAATTTTCCACAGAAAGTGGAGTGAAGGAGAGCAAAAGACAAAAGAAAATTGCACAAACATATTAATTGTCTTTGACACAGAAGACATTTTCTGCACAAATTTTTTGTTTTCAGAAAGTCTGTTTCCTTCCTCCACTAATAATAATATTAATAATATTGATATTAATAATAATAATAACAATAGTAACCTGATAAAAAAACTTCAGTGAGTTCTGTTTAATGTAGACAGGATAGTCTAAGGGTGACCTCTTGTTCTAATGAAAATCATAGCATTTCCTAACCTTGTAGAGTATTGCTAAATATACTCTTAATTCAGTTTTGCATATGTGTACACCACTCATCATAAATGTCTGACTTTTGTCAACAGTTACTACTCAAGAAGTTACTTCCTTTCTTATGGCTGGAATGACATTGCCATCTCTTAGCTCCTGTGTTAAATTCCAAGTGATTTCTATTTTAACTTATTTCAGTGTGAGTAGGGGACAGGCATAACTTGCTGACTTATTTGAGCCTAAATATAGTGTGATGTTTGCCTGGCGTCATTCATTGTGACTGATCTTTGAAAAGTGATTTTTGTTGATTTCTTGTATATGGTTTAAAGAACCTTGTAGACTTCCAAAAGTTTTCACCTGCCAATTGTGTATGCTAGGTCTCATGCTGGATCCAGTTTTGAACTGACACTCGCTCTCAAACTTATTTCTCTTTGTACTAATCAGACTTCTGTTTTCTTTTTCTCCAGATTACGGTCTTTGGTAAAGCAGTTAGAGAGAGGGGAAGCTTCAGTTGTAGACCTAAAGAAGAATTTGGAATATGCTGCGACTGTTCTTGAGTCAGTGTACATTGACGAAACCAGGTGAGTTAACCACAGACATCAGCGCTCTTCTTATATCTGGTACCAGCAACACAAAATTTTAATTTACACATCAGTTGGGAAGGTTGTTTTAGCCAAGATTTATTACTTACAGACAATATGTTTTTAATCATTAAAATGTGTTCTGTGTAAAGCAGATCCTTACTCTAAAAGCTTCTTTAAATTTCCTGGGGCAGAGGAGGAGATCAAAAGAAATCATAAATTTAATACGTATTCTCTTGGAGAAATGTTTTCATAATAATTGTGTCCCACTTTTTTTCTGAAAGTTTCTAAATTTCTACTCCTCTATTCCTTTTGAACAGTGTTAAATCTTTTCACTTGTATCAAGTCTTTGAAATTAAAAAAACCTTGTACTCCAGGTCATGCTAGAGGTAGACTGGTAAGACATTGCAGAGGAGTTCCTCTCTTTGTTACATGCCATTTGCCCAGCGCTAAATGCACTTGTAGAGTCACCTCAGGTGACCAGAATGGGAAAGGAGAGAACTGCATGGTACTAACTGGGAAGTTAGACATGACCATAAATGAGTTCTGAAGGGCAGAAGGTTCAGGAATATTGATGAGCTGAGGAGGAGAAGTCTGTGGATGGTTATGTATTTGTGCTTCAGAAGGCTGATACTTCTTGTTTGTTGGCCTACTAGTGAGTTTCACAATCTGACATTTAACTGTACAAGAGAATAAACAATCTGTTGAAGGTTTGTACAATTGTGTTCCTTTAGGGCTGACAACCAAAGAATTCTAACAACTGCTTTAGTTAGAATCTATGTGAGTTTCTTTTTTGTTAAAAATGTTGTAATGCTCTCCAAGGGAGTCTGTTTACCCATATTTTTCCTCCTCATTCTAGGCGTTTACTGGACACAGAAGATGAGCTCAGTGACATCCAGTCCGACTCTGTGCCCTCGGAGGTCCGGGACTGGTTGGCTTCTACCTTCACGCGGCAAATGGGGATGATGCTCAAAAGGACGGAAGAAAAACCCCGGTTCAGGAGTATTGTCCATGCAGTACAAGCTGGGATATTTGTGGAAAGGTAAAGAAGCACCTAATTACTTTGTCCAGCTGATCTGAATTACCGTGGCCCAAAGGAGCCGGTGTTCAGCTATGATACGGCACCAGAGGAGGGTTGTGGTTCTCCTGAGCTAAGGGAGAGGGGCTCTGCCTGAATTGTTACTTAAGAGAAGGCTATAGGGCTCCTGACTGGAGGGAGGAGGGGGGCAGAAATTGTGTAATTTTTGGAATGGATTCAGTTTTCCAAAGGGGGATGACTTTTTTCAGGTCTGAGTGCAGAACATGACAAATAGAAAAGCAAGTGGAGGAGGACTTCACACAGGATCATTTCAGATGGGAGAAAAGAGCTTTCCATCATCTCCTTTTAGCCCTACATTGCTTAAGTGCAAAGAAGGGTGACCTATGGAAGGGCATTTTGGCTATGACAGTGTTTCATCATTCACCAGGCCTGTTAATTTTTTGTTTATTTGGGTGTAGCCTTTCCCTCTGGTGAAGACCTGATGTTGGCAGATTCTCTGTGATATCCTGCCAGGTAACCAAGCTATGAGGTACTGGGAAGTGTATAGTCTCAAGTTAGGCTATACAGTAAGAATGGTATAAATAATATTGTGCAAGTTAGGAACAAGAAGGGAGGAAAAAACCAAATTGCAGTTAGGGTTTACTGGGCTAAATAAGGTCTCCTGTAATGATCTGCTGCTTTATGATTTTTGGTTGGTTGGTTGGTTTGTTTTGTTTAATTCTCTTTATGTGTTGTGTTATCTATTTTACTTTGGTAGAATGTACAGACGGACTTCAAATATGGTCGGTTTGAGCTACCCACCAGCTGTAATTGGAGTGCTAAAGGTAATCCCAATAAAAAGGTGTTGGGGGGGGGAGTTCTGTGCAAAGCATCAAGATAACATTGTGATATTTGACTTTGTAAGGGAGTCTTAGTGCTTGCCCTTTTCTTCTCTCTGACATTTAGTTTAGTTTGCATACATTAATCATTTACTTTCCTAAGGGAATATCCTTTCAATAAAGGAAAGAATAGAGTTCAAGACTGTGGCCATTTTCAGGTTGTGAAGGTTACAGCTCTGTTCTAGATCTCAATGATTAAGCTGAGGACTTAGTAACATGCTGGAATCAATCACAACCTCTCACAGGGAAGAAAGAAAACACAGATGGAGAGATGTAGAGAAGGAAGAGGATCAATTGCTATGAGAGGAGGGTATTTATTGCATTGCTCAGCTTCAGGTCTTCAAGGTGACAATCAGTTTAGGAATAAAGATGCTTTTATGAGTTTTGAGGTGTCAGAGAAAAACTGATTAGTCATGAGTCTGAAAAAAAATAAGGCTCAATCTGTTGGACAAGTGCAAGGTTCTCAACTTAAGGAAGGAATTATCAAGACTACAAACACAAGTTAGCAACCAACTGCCTACACAGCAGCTTTGCGGATGACATGTTGCATGTGGTTCAACCATGCCATGCAAGGATGAAAAAAGATGATATAGTGGGACATTAAGTGTAAAGCTCACGAAGCAATACTTCTGCTCTGCTCCACACTGAAAAGACCTACAGTTAGGGTACTGAATCCTTTCTGTCTTGGGTAGTACAACTCATCAAAAGATGCGGAGGAATTGCAGAAGGTCCATTGAATGCAAGAAGAATGATCAAACATGCCTTTCATGTACAGAAACAAAGCATCCATCCACACCTTTTCCCAGCTGCAGGTGGACAAGTGTTAGCTTCACGCCTGTAAATGGGATCTAAAGTCTTTGTTCTTTCAGAACTACACCCCAGACCCAGCTTATAAAAGAACATATCTATAACGGTACCTCTTCTCCTGAGTTCCTCAGCGGTAACAAGACAATCCAAGACTCATCAGCTACTCTCAGATGACTTAAACATTACAGAATCCCTCTCCTCTTTTTATGTTTTTATAAGGGTCATAAAGAGAATTGATCATGCTAGAGTAAGTTAAGACACATCAATAACAACAAAGGCATTAACTAACTTTGCTCAGGGTGAAATAACACCCACTTAGCCACTGTGTACTCTAGGATGTATTTTTTTTCCAAAACTATTTTTAGAACATGTCTTTGCCTGGATGGCCTTGGGGTTGGTAGTGGATGTGGGAGATGGGAGTTACTTGTTTTGAACAAGTCTTCTGTCTTTGAAATAATACTTCATCTTAAATTTCTTAATACTGTCTCCTTAAGGGAAAATGATACATTTTGTTGTTTGCTTCAGTTCATTAAAGCCAAGGAAAAAAACTTAAAAGTACCTGACTTCTTGGTGTGTTCTGTAAAATGATGATTTAAACATGCAAAAAGGTGTCCATCACGCACATCTGTTCTGGATTGCCGTAATCAACATTGCCCTAGAGTTATGCTAATAAGGACAAGGATTGAGATGATATGCAGTCAAAACTAGCTTATTTTTGAACTATGTGCTCTCATTTTTGCTGCCATGGCCAACAGGATGTCTGCACTGCGCAACTCAAAGCTGTGGAATCAGCTTGGCAAAATGATGTTCGTTTTAATAAAACAATTAAATACTGCAGCTTCTGCAAAAAAATGCAGATGGAGTGGTAAGCAGTGCAAGTCCTAGGTGTATCATCTCTCTCACTTTTTCAGTGGATAAGAAGTTAAGCAATTTTTTTAATTGATCGCACAGCATCTCTCTGTATATCTATATATTGGATACTGATTTTTCTACTGCAGCAGCCTGTTGTCTTTTTGTGTGACATGGGTGTGATGAAGTAAGACCTGTTGCCACAAGAAGGACAGTCAGCCTTGTCTCTCATTTGAATAGTGGCCATACATCCTGTTCATACAGACATGGTTGAATAAATAAGTATGTTAATTTACTCAGTAAATTGTGGTAATCTGCTCAGCAGTGTAGTGCTAGAGACAACTTCACGTTAACTAGCTGCTAAAGTAGTTACCTGCTTTAGAAGTGCATTTTTCAGCCTTTTTTGAAAGCATCATCTGTGATGTTCTGCCTCCCTTTAGATCTCTCCCCAATATAGGAGTCACTTCTGTGTTAAAATTTTTTTAAAGGTCATAAAATCCACTACTTTTCAAAGCTAACTGATGTTGCTGCAAGACTCTAAGACATCTGAAACACCTTCATGCTTCTGTTAAGAGGATTTTCCCCCCCTAGTTATTCTGTAAAATGCTATTGTCATTACTGTCAGTAGCAAAACTTCTGTTGACTTGACAAGAGCAACGAGGATTTATCCCTTAGTAAAATCTAAATAGCTCTACAGTGAAACTTATTGTCTGTGTGGTTAACTATTATTTCCTGCAAAAGAACAATTCTGATGTACTGTTCTCCAATTTGGTAAATTTTATCTGCTGCAAGAGCACAGCATTAACTGCAGGAAAAATATGTAAAGGAGCAAAACCCTTTTATTTCTACAAGGTAAGATTGCTTTACAGTGAAAAAAATTTCAGCATAGTTGAGACATTATTTTCAGTGCCACAGGACCCAAAAGTAAATTATTTTATACATGCAGGTGTTAAATTAATTTGCTTCATTGACTGAGACAAGTTATGACAAAATAAAAATACTTAAAACTGAGTGGGTGCTTTGGGCATTATTTTTCTTGCCCATTTTCTGAGTTTGTGCAGCAGCTTCAAAAGATGTTTTCTTGATGGAACTTTCTCCTCTCCTGGTTGTTTTTCCTCTCCAATGCCTACTGGAAGTGTTGAAAAGCTGCGATTTATGATTGCTCTTCTGTGACTCGGGTGACAAATCATCTCTGGAGAAGCTTGACCCTGCCTTCAATGTGTGGGCTCCCCACAGTCTGTAATATCAACTGCTTGTCGAGCAAATGATTTACTGGGATAGGTGAAAGCAGAGTTGAATCTTCAGTGCCCTTGATATTCACTCACTAATTAGCCTCTCTGTGGACTGTACTTTCACAAGAGGCGTACTCAGCTCTGTGTAATCAACACTGGGCCAGTAGCAAGGTTTTCGGGATCAGCCCATGCTGGAGACTGCTGGTACCATAATAGGTTGGTCTCATTCAGAGCATAGGAAGGCCTGTGGCTATGCAATGTATGGGTGACCGAACACAAGTCGGTTAAATGTCACTGTCCTTTGCATTTATTTGACTTGAAGTCAGGTCCTGGAACATGACCGTGACAATACAAGCAACAAAGGTGGATTGGGCTTTAAGAGCTTGATTTTTAGATAGACTCAAATCCTTAGCAGTGCTCAACATTATGTCTAGCCAGCCCCCATTGTCTGTCTTGGTGAAAGTGCCACAAGGAAATGGGAGGTAACCTGCAACGGGGTTTGAAAGTGGAAGGAAACTTCAACGTACAGATGTCAAACTTTAATATGTGGTTTCAGGAGAGTCGTTTGGATAAATCCCTGTGGGAAGTACATCAAAGTTCTCAGCAGGCAAGAGAGATTGAGAGCTGGTTCTGTGCCAGATGCAGCTGTGTGGCTGATCTGTATATCATTCTTCCAGCTATAACTCCTTCTGCACCTTTCCTCAGGAGGAGAGAAAGGTTCATAGGGTTTCAGGAACATCCAATTCTGAGATCAAGGAGCTTTATCTTGCTAGATAATGAGTGCTGTCAGCTCCCACAGACTTCCCTAAGAGTTGAGATTTAAACTCAACCTTCTACAAGAAGGTTTATGCCCTATACTTTAGCTTTATGATCTGGGAAGTGAATGTTTCCTCCTCAGTCTCCTGAGTGCATCATTAATATATCATTTACAGCTGACTGGAACTTTCCCAACTGGAATTAGATGTTTACTCTTCTGTTATAAAAGTTGTTTTTTATATCAGTTAGCACTTAATGTAACATTACTGTGATTTTTTTCCTGCTGTATAGTTTTCTGAAAGCCCCAGTGGACTCACTTATCTTTAAAAAAAATAGGGAAAATTAGGGTCATGTTATCTTTGGGCAATTTAAGCTGCAATAATCACAATTCAGGATTAATATTAAAATCAGAAGGAGCTAAGGTGCTCTTTGGGTCTAGCAAGATGGTTCTTCTAGTTATTATTTCGGTTGATTGAACAGTAAATGGTAAAAATATGACCACAGGTGCCTGTATTTTTTTTTTTTTACTGCCACCATATCAGCTTATTCTGTTTTAAGTATGAGTGAAGCATCAGAGTGCTTTGCTCACAATACAAAGTCATAAGAACTCTATAGGGACAGCAAAATCCAGAGGCTTTAACAACATTAGAAAACATATCGTTAGTCCTGTTTCCTTCAAAGTCAGTGTTCTTTTTCATAGACATAGCATGTGAGTGGGGGACAGAGAAGGGTAAAGTCAGCCACAGTAGAGCCAGCTCAATGTTTCAGGTACTAAAGCAAACGAGGATTCTTATTTTTCTGGATTCCACCTTTGCTGGTTAAATTCTGGTGTGGAGAATTGCCATGTTTAGAATAAACAAACAGCATACATGTTCTTAATGGGAGCTTCTTAAACACAAGTCATACAATACTGAGCAGTAAGTTAGACTCTGCATTGGTTAAGAAAAAAAGCTAAACACATAGCCACTCTAATTCTCCATTTGTTGATGTAAAATGATAGAAATTGAACTATCATTGTGAAAGGGATGACCATATTAACTGTCTTTTCTACTCACTCCTGCAGAATGTCGACAAGTGGTCCTTTGATGTATTTGCACTAAACGATGCCAGTGGGGATCATGCACTGAAATTCATTTTCTATGAACTTCTCACACGCTATGATCTGATCAACCGTTTCAAGGTCAGTAGTTAGAAGATGAGTCTCTTCTACCATCTCGTATTTTGTTCAGCTGCCCTCTCATCCTGCTTCGTTCCATTCAAAATGCAATTCTAGCACTATTTGAAGGCTTTGTGGACACTGAACTTTTCCCCCAGTAGGCAAGACTAAATGTTAATTGAATAGTGCACTTCATTGCAATAGGGGACCATGAAGTAGGTGGGGTTCCAACAGGCTTTCCCATGAAATCCATGGGAAATATTACATTTGATCACGTGAGAACGATGGTATCATTCTCCTGAGATTCATAGGACTCTCAAGGGTGCAGGCAAAAAGGGACAGCTTGAATTCAAATTCATCAAAAGAAGTGTGACCAGCAGGTCAAGGGAGGTGGTCCTCCCCCTCCACTCACCTCATGGTGAGACCCCACCTGCAGTACTGTGTCCAGCTCTGGAGTCCTCAGCACAGGAAAGACATGGACCTGTTGGAGCGAGTCCAGAGGAGGGTCACAAAAATTATGAGAGGGATGGAACACCTCTCCTGTGAGGAAAGGCTGAGAGAGTTGGGGTTGTTCAGCCTGGAGAAGAGAAGGCTCTGGGGAGATTTTATTGTGGCCTTACAGTATTTAAAGGTGATTACTTTGTTTTTAATTCTGTGCTGCTTTCCTCAGATCCCCATTTCTGCCCTGGTGTCCTTTGTGGAAGCTCTGGAGGTTGGCTACAGTAAACACAAAAATCCTTATCACAACCTAATGCATGCCGCAGATGTGACACAAACGGTCCATTACCTCCTTTTCAAGACAGGCATAGTGGTAAGTACAGAAGCTGGCATCCTCAATACATTATGAGATTACAACAGTTTTGGCTCATTAAGGAAGTTATGATTATCCACAGTAGAACCCATTTGCACTGTAGACAAACTTCATTTGATATGGCTGTACTAATGAAAGTAGAGATTTAGGATTATTTAGAAATAGAAGGTAGGTGAAGATATGGATAACTCTTTTGGCAGTGATCTAAAAGAGGATGAATGAGAAACCCAAGCTCAATTTTTCACTCTACCACAGATCTGGTTGAGGTGATTCTGAAAACATGCTTTTTTTTGGAATTCGTTTCACCTAATGCGAAGCAGCAAATTGTCTAAGCTTTTTTCTTACTTAAGGGAGCAAGGCAGTACCTTCAAAGCACAAATTCTTTCCACTTCTCTGAGAATGGCAAGAGCCATGGTTTGGAGATGCCAATTTCCATCTTGCCTCTCCAGCAAAACCAGCTTGCATAGAGACCTACAGACAGCAAAAGTCTGACAATAGTGACAGGAATGGAGAGAAGGCTTAAACAAAGATACTTAGCACACAGTATGTTCCCACAGTGGTTGTCAAGACAAAAGACAAACAACAGAAATCTGTTTGAAGATGGACTACTAGCGAAATTGAAGGCAGACAGATTCCAGCAGTTTGGATTCAGCTGGCAGGTCAGAAAGTTGCTGGCCCCCTCAGAGGGGAGAATTAATCATAGGAAGTGCTCAACGTGGGATACATATGTATGTCATTCTCTTCCTCTTTGTACTCCTGGTTGCTGCTGTGGACAGAATAGGGAACAAAATGATGGCGTGTAGGGTGTGATGGAGCACAGGACAGAGAGGTGCAAGCTCAGAAGGCGTAGCACAGCTCCTGCTGTGTCTTTCAGGCCAGTTTCAACAACTGTAGAGCTGCTTACACTTGGGAACAACCTTTTGTGCATATGGTCTGCCTTTCTGCAGTCCTTGATTGCTACAATAATGTTCCTTTCAGCTCTGATGCCAGACCTGGATGCTCCTCCCTGAGAACTGACATGCTCCAGTGCCTCCTATAAACATGTCCCGAGTCTCCAGTGTTGACTGTAGACTGTACCTGTGAATTGCAATGTTTACTAAGGACAGATTTGGAAGGAGTCAGGTCCTGTGTGTCTGAAGACCTGATCCAGACTGCCTGATTCTGATTGAAGTTGTCTCTGTTGCTCGTGATTGTGCCTAAAGTAAGAGCAGTTAGGTCAGATTTGCAGCTAATACAGATGCATACTCAAAGCCTCCCGTGAGATCCTGAATTGGTCAGTGATGCTTTTATGACCATTAGTTAATGAAAAAGCACAGCAGGCTGTGGTCTGTAAGAATAATACAGTGTTGAGTAATGTGAATTGCATTGTAGTGGTGAGCAAATGGATCCCCTTTTTCTGCTGAAACTGTTGAAGAAGGGCAGTTGTCACTTGGGGCTACTCTGCTCTGAAAAGTGGCTGGATGGAAAAAGCTGCCCAAGTGTGGCAGCCCTTCTGCCTGTGTCTCTTCAGAGCTGCCTTTTTCCACCTTGCTGCTTCTCGGTCTGTTAGTAATTTAGCTGCAGCACATCTGTGAATGAATGAGTGCTATTTCATTCTAGCCCATGCTGCCACGGTGCTGAATGGGGTTTCATATTCTGTCTTGGATCACAATAAATCTAGGCAAGTGTTTAAAAAGAGGGAACTGGAAGGACATGAAAAGACGTGAGTAAGCGATGGAATAGTTTGTATTTTTTTTCTCTGAGAGAGAGATGATGCAGAGGATAAAAAGGAGAAAAACCCTGAAATAATGCCCCCTAACCCAACCCAAACCAAATACAGAGAAAATTTGATATGAAGACCTTGAAGTGCAGCAAGACTGTCAGTGTCGTGTGTTCCCTGGTTTGCTGTAAGCCCTGGTCTCCAGTAACCTGTGCTGGACACGTGCCAGTCCACTCCATGGCTCCACATGGGAGCAAACCAAATATTGCTGTTAATTGGAAACCAAGGTGTAAAAGAATCGTTGACACTGTGGCCCACTGTGTACTGGCTATGGGGTTAAAGACCTTAAAGCCAGAGGAGCTCATGAGCTACCAGAGACCCAGCACTGAGTCTTCTCTTCTCGCAGCTGCACAGCGGCAGTTTCTTCAGCCTGCCCTTGTGTGCCATGTGCTGTGGCCCCTCACCATCTCAAAGGCACTGACCTTTTCTGTCTGTTCTGTCCTGAGGAGAAGAGAATGAGACACAGGAGTCCGCATGCAGTCTCAAAAGTGCCAAATAAGAGAGGAGAGCATTTTTTGTTTTTTAAATTGTTTTTTTCCTGGATTTTTATTGGGTTTTATTGGCTTTTTAATTGGGTTTTATTGGTTTTTGTTGGTCTTTTAAATTGTTTGTTGGCCAGTCTCACAAATTTTCTCACTTTTACTCTTCCAGTTGCTGCCCCGATTCTCTCCCCCGTCCCGCTCGGGGGCAGTGACCGAGAGGCTTTGTGGTGCTTAGTTGCTGAATAGAGTTAAACCGCCTTCTTGGGCACCAGAAAGGACTGTGGTGGTTTTAACCTGGTGAGTGAGGAAACACCACACAGCTGCTCGCTCACCTTCCCCCATCCTGCAAGATGGGGGGAGAATTGGAGGGGTAAAGGTAAAGAGGCTTGTGGGTTGAGACAAGAACAGTTTAGTGACTGAAACAGAATAAAATTTAAAAAAATAATAATAATGATTATGACAATAATAATAATGATATAGCAATGCGTGATACCAAATCCCATACTGAATCCAAAACACAGTGCTATTCTGTCTACTGAGAAGGAAATTAACTCTATCCCAGCTGAAACCAGGGCAGCCGCCTTTGATGATCTGTTGCTATTCCGTGAGCACTACGAGGACAGGTTTGGCTTCCTCTTCACCCACCAGTTGCGTAGCTGACTCAAGAGCTAGCTGAGGACAGCGACCCCCACTGGCTTTTTCATCCTCGGGCTGAGAAAACTGCAGGCCCCAATAACCTTGG